CCGAGGCCGGGGGCGCCGGGCCCGGGGCCGAGGCGGCAGACGCTGGCGCCGCCTCAGGGTCCGCGCCGGAGCCGCTGCAGCTCATCGGGCCGGTGGGAGAGGCGGCGAACAGAGCCGCTTCCGCTTCCGCCCACGTTCCGCACGCCCGCTGTGACGTCGCACGCTCCCTCCGCACGCCCGCCTCCTCCCAGGGCCGTGGGCGGGCCAGGCGGAGCCAGCGCTGGGCGGAGCCTACACTGGGAGCTGCGCGGGGCCGCCGTCCCGCCTTCTGCCCGCGGGGATCCGGGTGGAGTTTGTGCTCTTCCTGCGGTCCTTCTTTCACAGGGACGCTGGGACCTGTCGGGGCTCACGCTTGGGCAGTCTTCACTTTGCAGCTTTCTTATGGAACCCTGTAAGGGTTGTAGTGCCGTTGAAAAACCCAACTGCTCTTAGAAGAGAGCAGTACACAGTGGTGCTGTAAGGGGAGAGGGGGTTATTTGAGCCTGAGAAACCAAAGAACGCAAAATCACAGCTAAGGAAGCGTGAGGTTTTCAGTTCGACATTTAATTCGTATTTGCCACCTCCTGAGACAGGAGGTGGGAAAGTTAGTCCTCTAGGCACCAACGTGGTCTTAAAAAGGGAGGGAAACAAACTGACAATTTCAATACTATATGTTCCTTACAACGCTAGAGGTAGGCAGGGTGTTCAAGGGAAGATGAGAACATTTACTTAGTTCCACATGCCAGTTACTCTATTAACCTTATCCCACTTAATTTTATTCCCTGGTTCTGAGAGACGGGTATTGCTATCCTCGACAAATGAGGACGCAGTCTTACAGAGATAAACTTAACTAGGGAGGTGGGAAAAAAAGACTTCCAGCTTGCTTGAAGAAGCATAGTATCATTTGCTGGGAAGAAACAAGATAGAGTTTGGAGTTGAGATAAAGGGAGGTGAAATGTTGAGTGTCACACATCTGACATTGGACCTATCAGTCACTACTGGACTCAAAGTTCGATTTAATCAGATGGCGATGACTTGCGATGTTTCAGGGGTCAGTAAGTAAAGTGATAAGACCAAAAAACTAAAGATGGAGCAACAAAGAATGCTGGCATTCCATGAGGAAGCAGCAAACAGGCCTATGGAGGAAGAAGACAAGGTGATTAGAGAAGTTAATCCTGGAAGCTAAGGAATGAGAATGAGCAGACAAATATGATAGGAAGACCATAAGCAAAAGGATCTAGGACTGCTGGTACTAGTACCAACAAACTACGTGTCCTGTATATTCATATCCCTGTTTGCAAGGTGGAAGAGTTTGGGTAAGGGGTGACAAAGTGCTAGTTATAGCTGCTTGTTAAGGAACCTGAGGCAGGAATAGGGAGACCTGAGTATGACAAAGGAAGGCAGGGTTGGGAATTAAGCTTAGAACATTTCAAAGTTGATTGCTACAGTCAGTGGTTGCGGGTTCAGCAGGCCTTTCAACAAGGCAGGACAAGGGACCAAGTCACCAGCTACAGAGCAGGGGACTGGTCAGCTTTCCTGGCAGGAAAGGGTCAAGGCTTGAGAAGAGTCTTCAGCAGAGCTGGGAAGTTGGGTGTTCCCCAGCCTGTTACAGGATCCCAGCCAGGGCCAGAGCAGAAACCCTCACCCTCCACCTCTTCGTTCAGACAGGACTCATGGCAGCCATGGGTTACCTAGAAAGGAGGTGGAAATCAGATCTGGGCCTGCTGGTACCAGACAAACACCTCTTTCCCTGTATTTGCATGCCAGAGGCTGTCCCACCATAGCAGATCTGCCTTCAAACCCATCTTAGCCCTTGCCATATTTGTATTAAAACACCAGCAAGCTTCCCTTCCACACTCACATCAAAAAGTCCAGCCCCATGCTGCTGGTAGAGCCTTGGGTTGAGAAAGCCAAGAGGCGGGTGGCCACTGAGAATTCTGTGCTCATTTATCAAGGCAAGGATTCCTCCAAACACTGGAGTAGAGGCCTGCAAGGTGAAGGTGCAAGGAGAGGTCAGGATTTCAGAGTGGTTAAACTTTTGGGGAGAGATTTTTGAAAGTATCAGAGGTCTTTGAGGAGTCAGAAGTTCTGGGAGACAAGGTCATAGGGACAGAGGGTAAGGGTAGTTCCTGAGTGAATGGTTGGAACCAGGCTGATTCTCACCGAAGTTCCAGATACCCACGGAATGGGTATACCATTGCTGACCACCCAGTAGCCATCAGAAAGTGCAGCAACATCTGGGTATGCACGGCCACTGGCATTGAAGTAGCTGGATGGAGGTAGACGGTGTGTGGATTTCAGAAACTGGGTTACGGCTTCTTTCTGAAAGGCATTTTGGAATGAGTACTTATCTGTAGCCTGTACAACAACTTGTGGAACTGAAGATCTTCCCAAGTCCCTTGCTAGCCACTTGAACATGCACATACCTGGTAAGAAGGCTGGGGGAACTCATTGCTGAAGCCACCACCACTGATATAGTCAACTACCTCATTTGTGATTCGGAAAGGGTTCTGGAAGGAGGTGCCTCCCACTGTGGTGACATAGGGGCTGAAAGAGAAGAGCATTCAGATAATAGGAGACACAGAGGAAGTCCAAGATGTGTGAGGATAGCCTGGATCTTGCTGGAGGCGTGGGTGGGTGGGTGGGGGAGGCATATGCATGCACACAGGATTGGCTAGGAGGATTGCAGCCCTCACCATGTCTTGAATTGATGGCATATTTTCCTCTACAGAACACCCACCATATCTGCCACTAAGATGTACAGGGAGTGAGTAGGTAGGATACTAGGAGACTAAGGGCTTAGCCTGCAGAAAGAAGGGAGTGCAGCAACCAGGACAAGTAAGGCTGAATGCTGAGCACAGGAGCATCTAGGGGCTCAAAGGCAGAGGTTCTAGATTGCAAGGTGACAGGTAAGTGGAAGTTTGGGGTCCTTACCTGGAAGCAGGGAAGCTAGGACGGAATTGGTGCTTTCCAGAGACAGACCAACACCCAGCCCCACTGTCGCCTGGGAGAGAGGCAAGTTTGGTATTCATATTAGTTGATCAGAGCTTGGTATGTAGGTTCAGATGCTAGAGAGAAATTTGGATATCAGCTGTGACTGCAGGAGGTCAGAGTTTAGAGGTCAGGTCAGTGGTCCCTATTAAGACTTTGGTCATGCACCTACAATATTTAAATGGCAATGGAATGCCCATCTTTAACAAAACTAAACAAGAAAAGGGGATATAAATGACCATTTTGTATCTGTATATACAAAATAGAATAGATATATAGCTACTTTCTCTTAATTTAATGAGAAGAAAGATTTGTACCAATAGTGTTTGGACAGTATATCATGTCTGCATCTTGTACCATGAATAACTACTATGAATACAACAATATGCAATGTATCAATTATTGTAACTGTCCTACTAACCTGTTTTGAAACTGTCTCATTGCTATTTGTTTCTCAATAAAATTAACAACAACAACAAAAAAAGACTTTGAAATCAGGTTATGATTCACTATGGGGTCAAAGCTGCTCTGTTGTGTGGGTGAATGGGAGGGGTAAATTTAGGGTAGGAGTCCAAGTTTAGGATAAGAGGTCACCTGAGGCAAAGAGCAGAGTGAGACCCCGAGCGGCAGCTTTCATGAATTCGGTGTTGACCCGCTGCATGTAGGCACTGCTGAGTGAGTCTTCATCATCCCCGTAGCTCACAGTATGCACATGTGGCAGGGCTGACTGGTTACTGAGCAGCAGGAGCCACTGCAGGAAGGGTTCTTGTGCCTCATGACGGCCTAGATTGTTTTTTGAGAGGTGGGCATACAGGGAGACTTCAGGGTCTCCCTGTAGCTCATGGCATTCCCTTGGGAATCAACAGCCATTTCCAACCCGCTTGCTGCTGGCTAGTTCCCTCAGTGTACCAGCATTGCTGTAGACCCATGTAGAGATGTTGGCACCAGCACTCATCAGGTACTCCACATCGAGACTGGCCTCGATCCCAGCCCGGCCCCGGCCCTGTTTTCCAACCACGTGGGATACTGATGCCTGGTGTACAAACTTGCTACCAAAGAGGCGCATGAACTCCGCCAGGTCTGACTCGTGGAAGTACTGCTCCAGGAACTATGGAGGGAGTCAGAAGAGGGATATGGGTCAAAGGATCAGTCCCAAGGTAGTACAGCATGGAAGTCACTTTGAGGGCAGGCTGTGAGAACCACATAGTTCTCTCTGTGTGGCTCACCTGGGCACAAGCCTGGCTGTTGTTGGTGGTGCCAGAGCCCACATCTTGTGCTGTCAAGTTGTATCGCTCACGGATCACAGATGGGGTCACTCCCAGGTGCAGGCCAACAGTTCCTGCCACTTGTGGTGCAGGGCGTTGTCTCAGGGATGATGTAGGGGGAAAGCGATGTAGTCCCCCCACTGTGGAAAGGGGGCACACTTGAGGAGGAGCTCTTAGAGACTTCAGCTTTACCACCAAATGTACCCCACACCCCCCTCTGGCATCTAAACTTCTTCACTCCCTGGGTATGCCTTTCCTAACCCCCATCTACCCTTCCCTTCTGGGTTTACCAAAGTCCACATGAGGTGCCAAGGCCTGAGGGAGCTGGTAGGGATATAGGGACCTTATGACACGGGTCTCTTCAGGTCCCCCCATGTAGCGGTGAAACTGAGCCCCAGAGAGCAGCAGCTCTGCCTGTCTGAAAGAGATCAGAAAACAGAGGTCTGAAAGCACGGAAGGGAACAGAGGCTGCCATCAGAATACCACAGGTCAGTCAGTCGGTGGTCATCTTCTCATGCATTAGCTACTACCCATAAGCTCTCCGCATACTCTCAACTCCCTCCCATGGGGTGACTATTTGCCTGCAGGGACATCTAGTGTCCTGCATAGGGCCGTTATTCCTTCTCACCGGACGCTCAACCAGCAAGTCAGAAAGTCCTGTGTGGCGACTGAATGGCAATTCTGGGCTCCAGCTGCCCGGAGCCATTTTTGGACTGTGCGGAGGGTCAGTGGTGATGGCCGGATCAGCTCAGCCACATCTTCCAGGGCCAGGTATTTTCCTGCAGGGTTTCAGAAGAGGATCTTGGCTTTATTCATGGATTTCTCAGATTACCTCTTTTGACCCCAGTTAGGAGACAACAGGACCTTTCAAGGAGGGTTGGTACATTTGGAGCCCCGATGAAAAAAGCTTGGAAAAACTTGAAATTCCATGGTCAAAAAATATAAACTGTCCCTAAAGACCGGTAGATTGCAAGTGCCTTACCTCACCAATCATTGCTAGGATCATGAAAAACAAATGGAGTTCATGTACATTTTTTCACTTTAAGTTCATCACCAATAAAAGTTTTCAAAATTTTTGGAACCAATTATATGATAACATCTAATTTAACTCAGACCTTCATACTCATTGATTTAACATGATGGTGAGTCACTGTTTCCTGTATGGAGCCACTAGTACTAGTTCTCTTAGGTGACCTGAACCCCACCCACACACACCTCCACCCTTCACACACACACCTTCTGGCCACCATGGAGGTTTTAGCTAAGGGAAGGATGTAATCCAGCTTAGCCTTTGGAGAGACTTTTGGAGCAAAGTGAAAGAAAAGTGGGGAGGGGGGCAGCAGACTGTAGATGGGGGTGGGGTGGGCAGTAGTACAGGAGAGAATAAACTACAGAACTAGCGGAGCCAGCGGCAGCAAGGGTTGGCCAGAAGTGGACTACTCCAAAGGCATTTTAGGAACTGGAACTCCTAGAGGGGAAAATAGGTATAGTTTTGGGGAAGGGGGAGTTGATGAGCACTTCCCTATCAGGTGATGCAGTTCATTTGTGTGGTTGCTGCTAAACACTAGTGAGAAATCAAATCTGGAGTTGACCATAAAGACTGCTCTTAACTGCATTTACTTTTTGCTTTTAAGCCTAGGAACAAGGAAATTTTTAGGGCTGAGGGGTGGGGAGAAAGAGTGTTACTTTTGGATAGTTAAGTTTCAGTCCCCTGTTAGGTACATACACTAACTGCCCGCAAAGAATGTAATCATTACATACTCCAAACATCTACCAATAATTTTTTTTTTTTTTTTAAGTCCTAGGGCCGACCCAATAGCTCAGGGGACTAAAGTGCCTACTTAGGCAGAGTGCAGCAACTAGGGTTCGATTCTTGGAGTGCGGTGCCAGCCCTGCTCCCTGGGCAGGCTGAGATGTCGAATGAGACTGGGCATGGTGGTATGCACTTGTAATTCTAGCACTTGGGAGGCTGAAAACAGGAGAATCACTATGAGTCGGATGTACATAGTGAGACCCTGTAGACCCTGTCCTAAATACATTAAAAAAAAAAAAAGAAAAGAAAAGAAAAAAAAAAAAAGAAAGAAAGAAAAAAAGAAAAAGAAAGTCCTCAGTTCTGGTCACTGCCTTTCACTGGCCTTATGTCACCCTTGCCAGGTACCAGGAGTGCTACCCCTTTTCATCTACACCACGGCAGGCCCAGCCCTCCTCTGGCCCCCACTGCATCCCACTTCCTGCCCTCAGTCCCAACAGGTACCATAGCGAGGAGAACCAGGATCCGACACAGCCTGTACCAGCTCTGACAGTCTCTTCAGGTTCTGTTGTCTCAGGGCAAAGGTGAGACTCAGCCCTTCCTCGGGGTCCACACGGCCCAGGGACACCCAGCCAGGAGGCAGCCTGCAGGGTCAGGGTTCAGGAACACGGCTGTGGTTAGAGTGTTAGATGAGAAATGGATCACGGGTTAGGAGCCAGTGCTAAGTCAACTCACGTTCGCTGCTGGTCAGGCTCCGGGCTGTAACTGCATTTGCTGGCGGCGATGAGGGCACAGAGCCCTAGGAGGCTGCAGAGATGGCAGGCAGGTTTTATCTGGGAGTGAACTGGCATCGTGTGCTTACCCTCCACCATACACTCCCTTCAATGTGATCCCCTTCACCCGGGAACCCCTGGTTTCTCACCAGGCTAGCAGTCCCATTCCACCTTTCTGCTGATCTGGTGTCACATGACAGATCACATGAGCTGGTTTACAACATCACTGCCTAGTAACTGGTGACTACACTGGCTCCTCCCATCCAAACGTGTGGTCCTGACTATTGGGAAAGAGTGGGGCTGAGGCTGCCCTAGGATTTCCCCCACTAGCTAAACACTGATTAACCCTTGGATTCCCCACCTGCTATGAGCCCCCAACCCCAATCAGGAAAATAATCTAAACCTCAATGTCCTTTATAATTCGGAAACTATTACATAAAAGTGATCTGCTTCCTATAGTTACAATAAATATTTATACTGAAATGAAGCAAATCACCCATCAGAGAGCCTGGTATGACAGACTCGACAAATGTGAGCTTTTTTTACAATGTGGATATTTAGTAGATCTAAGAAAAAAAAAATCTCTTGGCTCTCCTTGCATCCACTGGTCTCTTCAGATGTCGGGCTGACAGCCCCCACTCACCCACCCAAGCCTCAGTCTTCCTGCAGCCGTGTCCCTGCTGGCCTCTTGCTCATGTTAAAGGGATCTGGAGAGAGGGAATCCCAGCCTCAGTTTGCTCTGGAGGCCCCAGTAACATCCCCTCCTAGAGGATATCATGTTGAGGTATCCACAATAACGTGCCAGGTGGCTCCTCCTTGATATTCCCACAGAACAGAGCCGGAGGCTGGATACAAACTGCAGTTTATTAAGGCTCCAGAGTGAGAATTGGCACTTGTTCTGGGGAGGGGCAGGGATGTCAGTGGAACCCAAACAAGCTGGGCCCAAACAGTTTGGAGGTACCTCCTCCATTCCCCTACCCCCCAATAAATAAAGTCTCTGCTCCATCTCAGATTGCTGGTGCAAGCACAAAGTCCTCACTGAGAACCCAGGGCTGCTGCCTCCTTCATTTTCTCCCCGCACTGGACCTTGCCACAGGTGGGTGACCAACAGACCCTCTGGTCCCAGTCTCTGAGGGGCTGGGGTGAAATGTGGGACCTGCCCCCACTGGAGGAGTTTGGGGTGGAGAGATGGGACTTAGTGGTGGCCTCCCCATGGCCAGTCATGGTCCGAGGCTGCCCAGGGCAGGCTCAGAGTGGGGCCTGCATTGGGGACACTGTGCGCATCCCAGGTCGGGGCCCAGCCTGGGCCACAGCTAGATGTGCAGCTCTGTGTCATCAGGTGGCTCCAGGCCAGACTCTGCACTGAGGGCTGAGGCTGAGGGGCCCTGGGCTACCCCAAATGGTGAGACAACGGGTGAGCGAGCAGCCAAGGGAGACAATGAGGGTGAGAAGCTCGGGGACATGGCAGCAGAGGACAAGGAGCCTTCGTGGCTGATGGGGGAACGGTGAGAGGTTGGTGGGAAGATGGCCCGGGCGGCAGCTGTGCTTGCAGGCTTTGGGGGCACAGACTTGGCTCCTGGGTGGGCCACAGCAGTGATGAGGGGTGGTGGGTCAATACGGGGAGCAGGGGGACATGGCCGAGCTTCATCCTTGAGCCGAGCAATCTCTGTGAAGACACTGGCAAGTGGTTGGAACTGAGGGCACCAACTCAGCAGGTAGTCCCAGTTATAGCTGCCACGGAGCTCCTCCTCACCAGCCACAATGGCGGTCAGTGCACCCGCCACACATGGCTTGCCGTCTGCTGGGAAGCCATAGTCCCCAGTGGGTGCAGGGCTTAGGCCACAGCCCCCCAGAAAGGCTGTGGCAGTGGCTGTGGGTCCCTCCTCTCGGTACAGAGTGGTTCCTGCACCTGGTAGCAGCAGCCCTGCCTTCCGGCCCTTATACCACGTGTCAGGGGCAGGTGGCTCACAGGATGTGTCGCTCAGTCCATCTGCATCCTGCTGGATGCCTGAGTCAGGGCCACGGGCCGCCAGAGAGGAGGCCACACTGGCCACACGGGGGAACTCGTTGATCATGCGAATCTCATCATCTTCTGCAGCCTCTGCTGAGCCTCGGCCGCTTGAGTGTGATGGGTCCAGGGAGCCACCACGGGGGTAGGGCCCCCCGGCTCCTGGCCCACCATAGCTGGGGAGAGTCTGGTGATACAAATGCTCTGAAGGTGGTGGACTGGGTGGCTCCCGGCCCAGTTTCTGCAGGGAGCCACTGGCTAGGGGTGCTGCCTGTGACATTGGGCCAGGGGCTGCCTCAGCCTTGCGGTTACGAGCTCGAACCAGCCCTAGGACCAGGGCTGCTAGTGCAAGCACCACCACAACTCCCAAGGAGGCTGCCACAGCCCCCACCAGCAGCAAGTTGAGGTCAGGTGCGAGGCCCAGTGCAGTATGAGTGATATCCACAGTCACAGGCACTGTGGCACTCCGGGAACCAGGCAGAGGTCCCCGAGCTACTACTTCCAACCTCAGCTCCCGTGGTGCCTCACGCCGGGTCCGGCCCCCACCCCCAGGAGTGGCTGTTCCACTGCCTGGTGCCCGACTGTCTACACGCAGGTACAGGACACCTGTAGTCTGGTTGATACCAAAATAAGGGGAAGAGGTGGCAAGGGAATAGAGCACCAAGCCATCAGCACCCCCATCCTCATCTGTGGCCTGCACATGACCCAGGCTGTGGCCACGCTGGGCACCTTCTGGCACTTGGAAGTGGAAAGCTGGAGCAAGGAATACAGGGTCATACTCATCTTCTCCAGTCACCAGGACTGACACAGTGACAGAGGCTGAAAGATTCCCAGCATCAGCAGCACCAACCAGCAGCCTGAAGCTTCCTGTGTGTTCGTAGTCAAAAGGCACACGTGCTCGCAGCTCCCCTGTCGAGCTGTTGAGAGCAAATGCCTCACGACCAGCAGGCCCTGGCCCAGCCTCCATCAGACTGTAGTGGAGCCTCCCAAAAACCCCAGCATCCCCATCAATGGCATGCAGAGTGGTCACAAGAGTCCCTGGAGGCTGATTCTCTGCCAGGCTGGTGCTGAGTAAGTTCAGTGGGAAGGTTGGACCATGGTCATTCACATCCTGGACCTCAACTGTCACTGGAGCCAAAGCAAAATGTGTCCCAGCAGGGTCAGCAGCCTGCACTACAAGCTGGTGTCGAGCTTGGGTCTCACAGTCCAGGGAGTGAGCCAATCGCAAGGCACCTGAGCTCTCATCCAGCTCAAAGAGCCCCAGTGGGTCACCTGAGCTAAGGGTGAAATGTACAAGGCCATGAGGGCCAGGGTCAGCATCAGAGGCCTCCACATGCAGCAGCTCAGCTCCAACTGGCATGTCTTCAGGTACTGTCACACGGTAGGATGCTTGAGTAAAGACAGGGGGGTTGTCATTGACATCTAGGACAGTGACAGTGACTGGTACAGCTGAACTGCGGGGTGGCTGGCCCCGGTCAGCTGCAACCACAGTTAGATTATATTGCGTCAGGCTTTCAAAGTCTAAAGGCTCAAGCAACATGAGGCAGCCCAGTGCCTGGGGACCTGGCCCAACACCCTCTCCAGCCTCAGCCAGCCGGGATTCTAGCTGGAAGACCCGGCCGCGGTTGCCACTGATGATGCTGTAGTCCACAGTGGCATGGATGCGGCTTCCGTCAGCATCTGTGGCCTCCAGGGTGAGCAGGGTGGAACCAGGGGGCAGATCTTCACTCACAGCCACACGGTAGTGTGGCAATGTGAAGCTTGGGGTGTGGTCGTTCTGGTCCTGCAGCTGCACATGCACTGTGGCCCGTGCTGCCCGGCGTGGAGCCCCATGGTCCCGTGCTTCCAGCACCACATCCACCACTCCTGGCCCCTCGCGGCCAAAGGCCCCTGTTCCCACAGTTGTGAACAAAGTTCCTGAGATGAGAAGGGAAGACAAAGAAATATACATTCAGGAGGAGCTGTGTGCCTGGAGAGGAGGGAAGTCAGATTCTGGGGAATGGCCCATGTGTTAGAAGGACCAGGAATGGGCCCAAGGATTCAGGTTCAGGAACCAACTTTTAGACACAGTCAGAAAAGGATATATATATATATATATATATATATATATACTTAATTTTAGGGAAGGGTCTACAGGATGTTCAGGCTCCCACTACTAGATCAGACTCATAATGATCCACCTGTTTACAGCCTCCCAAGAGCTGGGATTACAGGCACATGCCACCACACCTAGTCTCAAGGCCTATTATATTAAGGGCAAGATGAAAATGTTCCCCTGGATTAGAGATCCAGGAGTCAAAATTTCAGGTAACAAATTCTAGGAGTTAGGTCCAAAAATAGCCCAAAATGGTCAAAAATAAAAGCAGTCAGATTCTGGGGAAGACATACCATTGCTGGGGTCAACACTGAAGCCCTCAGCAGGTGAAGCTAGGTGATAGGAGATGTGACCGTTGGCACCTGAGTCTCGGTCAGTGGCAGAAACGGAGAGAATGGCGCTGCCTGGGGGTGTGTGTTCGAGCAGCATTACCTGAGGTGTGAGGAAAAGTGTCCATGGTCAGGTTTCCCTGCTACCCTGCTGCCCTCTCTACTGTGGGCCGGAGCCTGGCCCCTTGAGCCCTGCTCGGTATCCATTTCAGCATAGAGTCCATTCTCCTTTGTATTCTGCTTACACGAGAACTGCCTACCTTCTTCTTTTCTGGCCAAAAGATGAAGCACCTGGAAGGCTAGCATGACATGGGACATTCTTTTGTCCAGATCAACTCTTAACATCCAGTCCACCCCAGCCCCTCTAGCTGTGTCATATCCCTCTAACAGTACAACCCAAAGCCCAGATTTGGGGACAACCAGGGAAGCCAGTACCTGGTAGAGGCTCTGTGAGAAGGTAGGTGCATTGTCATTGACATCCTCCACAAGCACCGTGAGGTTGGCACAGCCCTCGTGAGGTCCATCATGTGCCAGCAGCTGCAAGTGGTAGTGATCACACTGCTCAAAGTCCAGAGGGCCCATGAGGGAGACGCGGCCTCCATAACGACCAATACTAAAGGGATCCTGGGGGCCAGATGGGCTCAGCACGTACCACAGCACTGGTCCAGAGTCCACATCATTCCCTGTTACCTGCGCAATCTCTGAGCCCAAGAGTGCATCTGCAATACACAAGACAAGCATGTTTGGCAGGGTTCCAGGCAGCCTTAGCACTCCAGGGT